GCAAGCACCCACAGGGGCCAAACAGGTGAAGTAAACGCGTGCAGTCATTTGGATCCAAGAAAAGCCTGGTGAACAGGTCCCTCTAAAACCATTCAGCTTGACCTCATTGTTGCCTTGCCAGAATGAGTCCAGTGTGGCCAATTTTTCAAAAGAAACAGAAAATACAGTGCTTTATATGGACTCTTCACATTCTTAATTGCTGGCAACTGATTTTAATTTAAGTAGGCAAACATGGGGGCCAGCAGGTGGCATGGTGGCTGGGGTGCTAGACCCCCACACGGGCAACTATGATTCGAGTCCTGGACCTGGAAACTGGCTTTCTTACTTTCCCCTCTCTGTCTTCTCTTCCCCTCTGTGTTTTTTTCTCTCTGGAGATATTAAAATAATAATAAAGTAATTCTTAAAAAAAAAAAAAGTATCATAAGATATAAGTTGCAGTGAAAAACACACTCCTTACCTCAAACACCTCTCCACTGTTCTTAAATTTGTTTTGCTGCTCTTTGCTACTCTTTTTCACACCAATGTGTAGCACACCATGTACATTTTTCTGCATTTAGCTCTGATATCTTAGTGATATTTCCACACCAATTCATAAAAAAATTTCTAGTCTATCTTTACAACTTCATGACATTATTCTATCATGTGACTGTGCTTTGTCAGAACCAATTCCATAATGAACTCTTGGGTACTTTCTGGTCCTTTGCTAACTCAACATGCAGGGAAATAATCTTACACATTTACCCTTTTTAAAAAAAAGGTTTTTGCCTTAGGATGTATGTACCTGCTGGAGAGAGAGTGACAGAGATAGTGAGAGGGAAAATGAGGAATCACCCCCCAGGGGAGATGGCCACACTGCAATCCATTCTCCTGGGATCCTAATATGCACGCACATGCACTCGGCATGACTTTCAAGCTGCCAGGTCTGAGACTCGAACTGCAGTTGACCATGTGGAAGTCCAGTGACGTGACCTTTATGCCATCTGCTGGCCCCACCATTTCTTTTCTATATGAGTTGCTAGGTCCACCTGACCATGAGGATTGTGTCCTACCATCAATGTATAAGAATACATCATTCTTTGAAATGTCACTAACGATTTCATCAAAGATGTTAATCTTTGTCACCCTGATAAATGAAAAATCTGAGTAATTTTTATTTTCTTTCATACATATTGGCATACAGAAGTGAAGTATAATTTCATATGTTTAAACACCTTTCGCATTTTCTGTGAAATACCTGCTCATATCCTTGCCCATTTTTCTATTTTTTCCTCTTATTTATTTATAGTTGCTATTTACATATTAGGGAGATTATCTCTCTTTAACGTAAGTTGCAAATATAGTTTCTCAGTGTGTCATTTATCTTTTGAATTTATTTAGGATTTTGGTTTTTGGAGACTTTTTTTTTGTTGAGTTTTGTTTTGCCATATAGAGCTTTAAATGGTTTTACATATGAGAAGTCTTCAAAAAGTTCATAGAAAATGTGTCTTTTTTTTTTTTTTTTTGAGAGAGATTTTCACTGTAGGGCGCGTGCACTCGCCAGACAGACAGAGAGAGACATAGAGACAGAAAGCGAAAAATCACCCCCCAGGGGGGATGGTCACGCCGCAATCCCTTCTCCTCCATTCTCCTCTCGGGATCTTGGGCACGCACGCGCACGCGCCTGGCGTGAGTTTTAAGCCACCGGGTCCAGGACACGAACCGCGGTCGACTACGTGGGAGTCCAGTGACATAGCCATTACGCTAACTGCTGGTTCCCAGAAAATGTGTCTTTTTTTTAAAACCATGCCTGTATTTCAAAATCTTTTTGCACCCAAATAAATTTGTATTTTTTTTTTTCAAAGTAGTTATGTACTTCTCTATTATAAGGTAGGCTTTTTTTCACTCTCTCTTTTTTCCTTCAGGTTTTTGCCATAGGGTACATGTGCTTGCTGGAGAGAGAGAGAGAGGGAACGGGAGAGGAAAAATGAGAAGTCACCCCCCAGAGGGTATCCCACGCTATAATGCCTTCTCCATTCTCCTCTCAGGAGTTTGGGCATGCACACACATGTGCCCAACATGATTCTCAGACCGCCAGGTTTGGGACTCAAACTATGGTTGGCCATGTGGGAATCCAGCACCTCAACCACCATACCACCTGCTGACCCTGCTGAAAATAAATGCATATTCTCATCCCATGTCTCCATAAACTTTGTAAGCTCCCTGCTCATATGTAATGAAATTTCTCTCTCTTATGGCTGCTGCTTTTTTTATGATTCTCCAATCATTTTGCATACTTCTGCAACAGATTCATTTTATACATTTAACTGTTTAATCCATTTGGAATTTGGGGACTGTTCCAGCTGTACAGTGAGGTGTAGAACTCCCTTTAATTTTTCCAAATGGTTACCCAGTTGTCCCAACATGGAAACAGTTTGGAACAGTTTACAGACAACCACACTTTCTGCCAACCAGACATGGCCCCACAGGCTGCTGTCTTGAAGCTTCTTGTCTGGACAGGCATGATACACCCACTAGGAAAGTGGGAAGGTGGTGGACCAAAGGGTCTTGCTCCTCTGAAGATTTCCCATGACCTTTATACGGGGTCCCTCTCCCACAGTGGCCATAGAAGAAAACCGTCAGCAGGCACATTAAGAAACAGACCTGCCAGCACCCCAGAGGCCCCTTCCTGCTTTATGTAGGTACAATGTTCCCACCCCCAAGGACAACCACTATCCTGTCTGCTTTTCTGAATGGATGGATGTTTAAATGCATTAACACCAGCCCCATGGTCTAGTGGTTAAAGGAGCAAGATTCCACATGGCCGACCATGCAGTTCCAATCCTCGCCTTGGTGGCTTGAACAAACCAGGCATGTATGTGTGCATGCCCCAAATTCCAACATGGTGGAGAAATGGAGATAGGTTTGTGCATGACTGCATGCTGTCAGGAGGTGCTCTCTCTCTCTCATGAACACGGAATCCTCTGGCATACAAAAATAAATACTTAAAATGTATAGACTGGAGTCCAGCTCATTGGCATGGGGGTAGCACGCTGATCACATACAGCCAGGTCCATACGGAAGATCGGGGTTCATGTCCTTTGCCAAGCTCTAAATGCGCGCCATGAGTGCCATGATCTGGGAAGACTGGGGGGCAGAAACATGGCATGAGACACTGTGAAGGGTGCTTGTCTTTCTTTGTCTCTTGCTGTCATGAATAAATGCACAAAATGGACAGAAAGAAAAAGATGGCTCTTTCCTTAGCTGCAGTCACCCTGGCGAGGGCCGAGGGGCCTGCTACAGTCAGGACTTTGTTTATTCGACCGGGGACAAGTCAGGCCCTGGCTTGAAGAGGAAGCCTGCCAAGTGCCCTGGCGTAGGGCCTGTGCCTCCAGAAGGTGCACAGAGGCCCTCGATTCCCGGCAGTGCTCTGTCCCAGCCCTCCCTCCCCGGTGCCTCCAAGTGCCCCAGACAGTGCACTGCTCAGCACTGGAGCTTTTGAGAAACCTGGAGAGAGCCCTCAAGTTGGCCCACCACCACTTCCCCATAGATGTCTACCCAACTTCGGGCCTGTGGAGAGGGATGGGAGGACATCCTTAGGAGAATCCAAGGATAGCGCCACCCAGAGGAAGCAGTCAGCCTGGCAGCAGCCCTCACTCCACGCTTGTTCCTGCTCTCAAATTTAAGGGCAATGCCTAAGTCACTTGTTCTTGAGGCCCTTGGGTACCACTGGCCAACTAGAAACAGCACACATTCAGCCCTTTCCCTATCAAGTCATCACCATGACAACAGCCATCCATCCTCCAGTGCCCCTTGCCAGGCCCTTAGCCAAGCATGCCCACAGCTCATCTTGTTTCATCCTCACAACAATCCGACAGCATTCGTCACGTCTTAGTGAGGCGGAAGATGGGCTCAGAGAGGGTGAGCAGCGAGCCTAGGGCTGCACAGCTGAGACACACAGAAGATGACAATGCCACCCACCCAGGCAAGCTAACCTCAGCACCTGTGTGCTCTCAGCCGTCCCCTAAGTGTATTTTCGGACACTTGGGCTGCTGTGGCTTCATCACATGACATCCCCTTCCACCTTCCCCAGACCCCTGGGGTTCAGGCGCTGGAAGGAGAAAGAGGCCTGGCCATCTCCAATAATCAACAGATGTTCCTCTTCTGGAAATTAGTGTCCTCAACTGCTCACCGAAAAAATTAATTTTCCATCCAGTCTGTGTTCTTCCTGAGCAGACTGGGGCATAGCATCTGTGTTTCCTTCATTACAAACAGTCCCAACCCGTGCAGCCCAGCCACGGGAATTAACGGCCTGCAGCCCCGCACAGCAAGGCCGCCACGCACAGGCAGGGCTGAGCCGCTACTCGGTTTGCTCTGGTCTATGTGAGGCACGGAGCCAGTGACCCGTCTACACTGCTGGACGCCACAGTGCTATGTGCCTGGTGGGCTGGGCACTGACTGGAAGGAAGCCCTTGGGGGGCTTCAGGGAGCTAGCTGATAATGTTGGCTGGTTTCTCAGTCTGGCTGAGGGTTACGCAGATGTTCACTTGGTGACAAGTCAGTGAACCATACACGTAGGTGTCCCTGTCATGCAAATGATACTTCAATAAAAGCTGCAAAAAAGATCTCAAGAGAAAAATGCTGCCTCTTCCTGAAACCAGGGATCCACTTGCATCTTTTAGTTCCAAATATTGGCACAGCCCAACTTTCCCCATGCTATTCTGCTGCAGTGTGGCCACATGCATTATTTTAGATTCTTTGACATTCTAACGCAGGTCTGCAGTTTGTGTGTGTGAATGTGTGTGTGAATGTGTGTGTAAATATGTGTGTGTGTGTGTGTTCTTGGCTCTGAGAGGAGTTCCAGAAATATCTAGCACAGGTCAAAGCAAAGCATCTGGAGTGTCAGAACAGGCAGGACGCCCCTCTGCATGAGGGGACACATGTAAAGGGGAGTCCCGAGGCCAGAATCCGCACAGGGATAGCCTTCGAGAACAAGTTTCGGTCAGTGAAAAAGAAACCGTCTCCACGGTTCTGACATACCTTTATTGGAATGACCCACGGGGTTGGGGGGCTCTGAGTTTGCACAGGCCACAGCCAGCACTGACGCCCCTGGGGCCCTTCACACCACCAGCAGGCCAAGGCTGGGCAGATGCTTTGCCGGCTGCCCTCCCAGGCTCTGCCACGGGTGGGTTCCGGCCAACTCACCCCCATTCCAGCCCCCTGGGCTCAGGCTCACAGGAAACAGAGGAGGGGACCTAAACAGCAAAGCACAAAGTCAACACCTGCAGTCCCAGCTGCTGGGGAGGTCGAGGCAGGGATCGTGGCACAGCAAGACTTTGTCTGAAAAACCAACCACTAAGAAAAAGCAACCACAATAAAACAGAAAGACAGAAAAAAGAAAGAGAGGGAGAGAGGCAAGATGCTCTGTATAGTCTCGCTTTCCAGCGTCCCCGATGGAGGGGTGCCGAGCTCACAGATGCCGCGGGTGGCACGGGGGCCGAGGCGTGGCCGCCCTGGCGTCCGCAGGGAAATAATCCTCAGTCCTGTACAACGCAGGCAGCTGGTAGGTCGGGGGCGCAGGCGCGGATGGCTTCTGTAATGACAAAAACGAGGTGCTCTTTCAGCGTCCGGGACCCACCACCCCCAAGAACTCTGTTCTGGAAGCTCGCACTACAGGGCAGTCACACATGTGACCAGAACCTGAGCTGCTCTGGAAGCAGTGACTTCTCTGACAGCCACTGCCGGCCACCAAAGGGATAGGGCCCCATGGTAGGCCATCCCCACAGTGCCGTTCTCTGCAGGCATCAGAAAGAATGTGGCAGGGCCAGCCAGTGGTGTGATGGTTAAGGCAGCTGGATCCCACATGGCCGACTCTGTGGTTTGAGTCCCAGGCCCAGCAGCTTGGAAAACACGCTGGGCACATGTGCGTGCATGCCCAAAACCCTGAGAGGATAAGGGAGGAGAAGGGATTGGCACATGGCAGTCCCCTTCCTGGAGGAGGAGGATGCTTTCTCACTCCTCCACCTCTGGCTCTCTCTGGCAAATGCATGTACCCTATGGCAAATTTTAAAAACAAAAGCCAAAACAGAGCGTGGCAGGTGGGCAAGTTCTGACAGAGCAGAGCTGAGCAGGCCAGGTGAGAAGGGCATGTGCCCCATGCAGCCAAATGACAGAAGCCGTCCCCGCTGTCCAGGCTATGCTCCGTCTCCTGGCCACTCTGTCCCTCTGGCCTGGACCCAGTTCAGCCAGACCTTCAGGTGTAGCCAGAGGTGCCAGAGCAGGATGTGCCATGGGTAACCACATTACACCCTCCCACACACACACAGACACCCCAAACCCTGGCCAGGACTCCTATGGCCAGTGGTGCTGCAGGTGTGCTTCCCGATCCTCACCTACACTTGCCGCTGTGACCGTCATCCTGTGCGGCGGGGTAAGCCAAGGCCCCAGCCACGCATCCTCCAAGCATCCCTCCATGCAGCACCACCTCACTGGGCAGCTGTGCTGGCCAGGCCCTGTCCTAGCACTGGCATTGCCGAACCAGACAGCAGCCCACACCACTTGCCAGGAGGGATAAACACCAACAGAAATAATGCCACTGCATGCCCGGGCTAACAGCAGGAAGGCACCTGGGGAGCCCAGCTTGGGCCCTGGCTCATCCTGGAGGGGAGGCTCCAGAGGCTGAGCCCTCTAGGACCTTAGTCCTACCATGCAGGGGCGCATCTGGGATTAGGGGAAGGGGTGAGGGGAAGTGCAAAGGGGGGCATGGCGTGGGGGCCTGGGGAACTGAGGCAGCTCCATCTAGAGTGGGTTGGGTTCGAGTGTGGACACGGATGAAGCTGTCAAGTAGGCCTGAGCACTTGGCTCCGGGAGACCACACTACCTCAGCCTAAGAGCACCGTGGAGCCTTCGAAGCTATTCAGGGTGCGTGTGTGTGACTGTGTGTGTGAGTGTGTGTACATTGGCAAGGGCTGTTAAAGAGAAGATGCTCACATCAACCTGCGTCACCTCCCCCAGGTAGAACAGCAAGGATGGCAATCCACCTTGGCTAAGGGCCAGCCTCACGCAAGCCAAGCAGGGCCTTCTGCCCAGGCAGCCCTCCATCAGACATCCGGAGCCTGCCTGCACCGGCACAGCCGGCCCTCCTCCCTGCACCTTCCCACTGCCTCCTGCCCCCTGGAACAATGGAGACAAGTCCCTGAGGGCACCGCGGTCACAGCACAACACGGAATGAGCCACAGTCACCTGCAAGCCTGGCTGTGTAGCTTGCGGGTAACCCAGTTTTAGAGTCTCTGTACTCTCTCTCTGTCCTAGGAAACAGCCATTGTGGTGTCTGGGGAACAAAGCACCCAGGAGAACCATGGCAGCTCAAAGACCAGCCCTCTCGGACTGACGCGCTGGGGCCCAAGAACGTTCTGTGATCTCACAATCTCTAGGACCCAGGCATAGGGAGGGGCCCATGAGGGACCCAGGGGCCAAGGCCCGGCCAGGCCATTGCCTATGTCCCCGCTCAGCCAGGTGCCCTCTCCTGGGACTGCTGGGCTTCATTTCAACCCTGTTTCTTCTCGAAATGGTTAGATCTAACTCAAGGGGTTAGATGGGTTTCCAGAGTCCGGGAATTAACACCACTGTGAAGGAAGCCAGGAGAAGCGGTCCCAGGACACCCTAGAGCTTCAGAATAATTGTGGCCCGAGGCCCAGTGGGATCTAAAGCAAGACACTGCAACTGTGGCCTTTCTCCTGGTGAGGGAGGGAACGCCACTCCTGCAGGGAGAAGCCTGGAGGAGGGGGTGCAGGGGGCAGGCTCGGCATGGGCGCCAGCCAAGCACCACGACGGATTATTAGGCAGCTGCTCCACGTGTGCGAAGCAGGGGAGGTTGATCCCTGGGAACCCACAGAGGTCCGCCAAGAACAGCCACTCCAAAGGAGCGTGCTTCCCCTTCAAAAGAGTCCCCGGCCTGCTGCAAACCTGCGGGGACGGCCCCGCTCCACGTCGACCTCGGCCCGAGCTCCTGCCAACCTCTCAGAGGGCACGATGGAGGAGGGCAAGGGCCTCGGCTCGTCGGAGGACTGGGCCGGACGCCAGCAGGCAGAGCGGCAGGGGTGAGCCAGAGGCTGGTAAGGGAGGGCCTTTGAGCCTGTTCACGTCCCTAAGGGATCACGCACTTGGACCCAAGTCCTCACCCAGCAGCTCAGATTGGGGCCCAGAGGAGGCCGGGCAGATGGTGCAGCTTCTGCCTTGCCCACAGCGATTGGCCAGGGTGAGCACGTGACCCAAGCTGAGCCAATGAGAAGCAGCCTCGGGCTCCTCCTGCCGGCCAGCTGGGTGGCCCTGCCTGGAAATGGAGCCCACGCGGGGGCTGCAGCCTAGGGGCGGGGCACCCAGGTCCCGACAGCACCCTCTGGGCGCCTCAGTCCAAAGTTGCCTGCTAGGATTTCCCTGGGACTTTTCCAGTTCAAGGGCCGCTGAATTCTCTTCTTTGCTTAAGCCCAAGTGATCAGAGTTGTTGTCCCTGCAACAAGGCCTGCCCACGACAAATGCACCCAAAGTGGGGCCACCAGGCGCGGGGAGCCTGCAGCTCGTCAGCCCCCGAGGGCAGGTGTGCAAAGCTGAAGTCGCCTGCACCAGGGCATGACAACCTCTCACAGCGTGCCTGGTTCTGCTGGGGTGCAGGCACTCCTGCCGGGGTAACAAGACCACACCCCGGATATCAGCCACCGAGATCCACTTTTGTGGGTTCTCGTGGCACCTGCAAGGCAAGGAGTTGCTTCATATTGCAGAAGTCATGCGAGTGAGGGGACCACGAAGCTGGGGTCCTCAGGTCTGTCCAGCCCCAGCCCCATCCCTCGCCTGTCACCCCACAGGGCTCCTTGGGAACAGAGCAGCAAACCAAACCCTAACCATCGCCCCTAAGGGTTACTCCTTTGAGAATCTCAGCCAGGGCTTCAGAGCTCTCCACCTTCCATCTGGCCCACCAGCTGGCACTGAGACTCCAGTCTGGGGACCAGCAAATGGCATAATGGTTACATCGCTGGACTCCCACATGGCTGACCACAGTTCGAGTCCCAGGCCCGTCAGCTTGAAATTAACATCGTGTGTGTGTGCGTGTTTACGTGTATTCCCAGAATCCCAAAAGGAGAATGGAGGAGAAGGGATTGCAGTATGGCCAATCATCCTGGGGAGCTATTTCTCGCTTTCTGTCTCTCTGTCTCTCTCTGGTGAGCGCATGCAGCCTATAGCAAAAAATCTCTCCAATAAATAAATAAATAAATAAAAAGACTCCAGTCTGCCTGGGTTCAGCCAGGTAAGGAATTGTGCTCAGGGCTAAGGCTCTGGCTCCCACCCCACCCCACCCCCAGCCTGCTGGCAGGCAAGTTCTGGGGCCCTGGGATAGGAAGCAGTGGGGATAGAAACCTGACACCTCGCTAAGGGGCAGCTGCCCTCCCCTAACCCACCCTGGGGCACAAGGCCTGGCTCCCCAGGGCCACAGGCATCCCTCTACCTCCACCTAGTCACCCAAGTTCCCAAACCCACAGCCCATAGGCCAGACGCCTGTGCCGGGTCTGCTCAAGGATTCTGTAGAACTGGAATTAATTACACACATGTACGAATCAGATTCCCCATGAAAACCAGACTGGCAGTTTCTCTCGGCAGATCAGACCATCTGGCAACTCTGGGCCCCAAGTCCTTTGTGGCCCAAAGTGGCTGGGCTGAGGACAGCTGCCCAGAGACACTTGAGCATTGCTGTGACCTGCTGTGGGCAGATGCCTGGGGCCAGCCTGGTCACACAGCTCCTCTTTGGACAAAGACCCCAACGGTAGCTGCTCCTGACAAGCAAAGCCTCAGGCCCAGGCGGGGTTCCCAGCCTCTCTTCTGAAGGTCCCCAGTCACACCACCTGCTCTAAAGCCAAGCCCACCTACCCCAGGTCTTTGCCCTGGGACAACCCCCCCCACACACACACACACACACACACACACTCCCCTTCCAGAAATCCATAGCTCCAGGCAGTCCTGGCCCCTTCTCGGAGCTCCCTCTGGGGAAGCCCTGACCGCACATCCTGATCCAGACCCGAGCACTTTCCGTGTGGCCAGGACCCTCGAGCCTTCCCGTAACGGGCCAGGTGGGGAGGGCTGCCCCAGACCATGCTTGCCTCTGTTTACAGGAACAGTGACCCTTCCAGGTCTCCCACACGAGTGGGCGCTGAGGCCCAGGTCCCAGGTTCGAGGCCAGGCCCACCTTGCTGATTGTCCACGGGCCAAGTTTTGTTCACTCGGCTGTCCCCTGGGTCACTGCACTCCAGTCTGTCCTGGCTTGCCCAGAAAGGGCAGGAGGCAAGTCACCAGGAATGCTGGCCCAGCCTCCTATACTCCAGAAGGAGAAGTAGGCCACTCAGCAGCTCCACTCAGAGGCCGGGTTCTGGGGTTCCGCAGGGTCAGCCCCAGCCACCTGGTCCACCCACCATGCCTCCAGGCTGGGTCAACACCTGAGAGGCTGAGGCCAGGCCCACCATGTCGTAGAGGTGAAGTGCCCACTGTCAGATTCCCACCTACATCCCCCAGGTCACCAGACATCCCTAGGGCTAGGGAGCTTGGAAG